CCCCCCCCACACACACACACACGTCGCCTTCATCTGTGTGTGGTGTGTGGTGAATGATGGTCGCAGGACAATGACTCGATAGAGGGCGTGACGGTCAACGAGACGAGGGACCCTGACGGCAGCGGACGGATCGTCAAATTCGGTCAGACAGGGAGGGAGAGGATTGCTATACTATGTGTGGTTGTCAAAAAGAATGTGTGTGTGGCATTCTCGTGTGTGTGTGTGTGTGTGTGCAGGTCCCGATCGTGTTCACGAGTTCCTGAAGAGCAACGACCTTTCCATGATCATTCGGTGAGACCTACCTGTCCCTCCCTCCCTCATGCGGATGAGGCTGACGTGTTGGGCCGGTGTTGTATTGTGCTGTGCAGGGCCCACGAGTGCGTCATGGACGGATTCGAGCGATTCGCGGGCGGCAAACTCATCACCCTTTTCTCGGGTGAGTAAACCACACAGACACACGCACACACCCCAACCCCACACACGCCGCGCCTTGATGCCTCCTTGTCTCGTGTTGAATCGTGTGTGTCACCACACACACAGCGACTGACTATTGCGGCCACCACAAGAACGCCGGTGCGTTGCTCTTTATCCGGCGGGACCTCACTGTCGTGCCCAAGATCATATACCCCACCGAACGGAGCCATGCTGTCTGGTACGAATGTGGGGGTGCGTCAACAACACCCAACCACACACACACACACGGTTGACATGTACCTTTGTTTGTGTGTCGGGGTGTGTGTGTGTGTGTGTGCAGGGACAGTGCCATCACCCAGGCGCGTCCCCCCACCCCCCCGCGGCCATTGCCGAGAGCGAGGAGGGAGGACTTCCCTTCGTGAGGATCCTGGCTGAGGGACCAACCCGTCTGTATGTGTGCGGGAGCCTCTCTCTCTCTCTCTCTCTCGCGGCCTGTTTTCCCGAACCTATGCCTTCTTCCTCCTTGTGCTGCGTAGCTGCTTGTGGACGGATGTGCGCGTGTTCCTGCCTGCGAGTAGGAGCGCACCTGTCTGTGGTCCTCTGCGCATGTTGAGACCAGAGAAGGAAGAAGCTGAGTTGTAGCCTCGACGTGGTCTTTCTCGGTGCTTTGGGTGGTGGCGGCGTCATCCAGAGACCTGTAGCCTGTCTGTCTGTCTGTCTGTTTGTCCGGCTGGTCGGTCGGTCGGCCCGCTCTACTCCACTCTATCGCACTCTCATACACACATACACATCTCTCTCTCTCCCTCTACATATACCTGTACAGTCCACACACACACACGCACACACACGCACACAAGGTGTGTGGGGCGCCACCAGCCCAGCTCTCTCTGTCTCTTGCCTGACCGACGTCACTCGTTCCATCCTCTCCATATTCGTTGGTGCAGCCGCTCGGCGCGCTTTGGTTTTATTTTTCTCTAGCGCACTCATACATATTGCGTAAAGCCATACATACACACACATATACACACCTTCCTTCGCGCATACGTACGTATTTACTTGCAAGTGTCCGAGAATCCCGTGGTGTGGATGCGTACGTACGTGGGGTGAGTGATTGTGCCATGTGTACTATAGCTAGCTATATTGGTCGCCCGCCCCCCCGCAACCAACCAAACTCCCTCCATGCATCCATCCGCCTCGGTTTTGCCCGCCTGCCTTCGCCACTGTCTGTCTGTCTGTCTGTCTGCCACTGTCTGCCTGATTTTCGCGATTTAAAAGTGGCCTGATTGGTGCTCTGCATGATGTGTGTGTGTGTGTGTGTGTCTGTCGAATGTGCTGTGTGAGTGTGTATGTGTGTTCGTGAAGACCTTGAAGACCCGGTCACCTTACTCTTCGCCTAACTGCCTGTGTGTGAATGATGGATGCACGACGCCCGCTCACAACCGAACGAAGGAACGAACGAGCGAAGGCTTAACTCTCAGCTTATTAGGTGAGGGAGAGTAGAGGAGGTGTCCTTGGTTGAAAGACACACACACAGAGACCAGCACACACACAGGCAGATACCCATCTGAGAGTGTTCATCAGCTGGACTCAAGGCACGCTACACAACGAGGTCCGCTACTCGAAGACGCTGTCGACACACCCTCTCTGGTGTCTGTCGGCCGCGTCTCGAGCCTCGGCCGCTGGTATCAAGCCGAGACTGATTCGAGCAATTCGGCGGTGAAGGCTCGAATCAGTTGCGGCTCCACACCGACGGAAGAGACCCGAAAACGGCAGCTCAACAACCAGACCCAAGGATAAAGAAAGCCCCCATCCACTCAGTCGGCCCTCACCCATCCAATACACCAACGCCCGAAACCCGCTCGCCACACATTCAAAAGCCACACCCACAACACGATCGCCATTCACCACACCACACACCCCCACGATCAGCACATGTCCATGTAGCTGCGTGGCACGAAGGGCTGGTTGGCCTCCTCCTCTTCCTCCTCCTCACCGCCCGTCTCCTCCTTGCAGCCCTTGTCGTCTGCCTCGCCCTCCGACGACAGCAGCGGGCCCAGGACAGGGGGGCGGCCGCCGTGGGCCGCCTGACGAAGGATGCGCTTCTTCTCGCCCTCAGACTCCACATCCGCATCAGCGCCGCTGTCCTCGGCACCTGACACACATCAGATAGATGGATGGACTAGTGTGTGAGTGAGATACGTGTGCGTACCCCCGATGGAAGCCACGCCCTCTCCGCCACTAGCCGCTCCTTCGGGCATGTGCGCCTCCTCCTCCTCAGGGATGCGCTGGAATCGCATTGGGGTGCCGCTGGCGGATGCGGAGGCCAGCACACCGAAGCTCTGGCCGCCTCGCTGTGCCCATGGGGTGGGACCCGAGCGGCTCTCCAGGACGATCCGGCGACTGCTGCGGCCACTGGTGTCCACATCGCCGTCGGCACTGATGACACACAGACACACACAGGGATAGAGAAAACGAGATAAAGACGCTTGAAGGTTATGTGTCTGTGGGTGCCGACGGACTGACCTTGCGGCTTGTGCGTCGTCATGTGGCTGTCCTGTCGTGTCGACGGTAGCGTCCCTTCCCTCGAGGATGGCCCTGTGGTCCTCGAAGCTCTCGTCTTCTTCCTCGTCCTCCTCCAAGTCAACCTCGACATCCATCGCAGACTTGCCCTCACCATTCTCCAACTGATACACGACACACACACACACACAGACACACACACACCTATGTGCGTTCTCCCGTCCATTCAATGAGACGGAACGTACCAGTTTTCCCGAGCCAGGTCCCGGCACGAGCTCGAGCCGCTTTCGACGCTTTGGGCCCCGCTTACGCAGTGACAGGGCCCCCATCTTGCCGTCGAGGTCGTGTGCGCCGCCCCGCCCCCTGCCGCCACGGAAGGGCACCAGCGTCATGCCGCCCGCTGAGGTCTTCTCGCGGCGGTCGCGTTTGCGGCCCCGGGAGGACTCGGCCGACGCTGCCTGGGAGAAGGAACGACGGTGGTCGGCGCTCCGACGATGATGATGCTGCTGATGCTGCTGATGAACACACACACACGCACACAAGGTCAATCCCCTCCCTCACGCCATGTGTTGGTGTGTGTGCGTGTGTGTGTGTTTGTTTGTGTGGTTCTGACCATTTCAAATTGGTAGTACTTCGATCGTCTGCCGCTGTGTCCGGGCCGCTTCTTGTCGAGTGGCGTGGCGGGCCGCATGTGGAGGATCTGTGGCGGCAGGGTGGGAGCGACCTGCTTGAGCTCTGTGCGGCGCCACGGGGCGTCCTGCGGCACCTCGATGGAGACGTTGTCGATGGCGCGCTGGGGGGCGATGTTGTCGCCGAACACGACGTTGCACGACGAGTCGTCGAGCCACTCGATGAACTTGGGATTGTACTCCATGAACACATCCAGGATCTGACCAGACAAAAGGAGAAACGGTGATGCGCCATTCATGTGTGTGTGGATGTAGACAGGTGTGCATATAGCTGACCTGCTGCGTGTTGAGCAGGTCCACTCCGAAGACGTGTATGGCCTCGGATCGCACCCCCTCGCTCATGTCGAACTCGCGCCGCGCCTCCGTCCGCTTGACGTGCATCGCCCGGTCCACGTCGTCGCCCCTGACGCCGCCGAACCGCTCCGCCCGCCGGCGCATCTTGTCCAGGCTGTCGAGGGCCGCCTCGCCCTCCTGGGATTCGGGCTCGGGTGAGCTGCCGAAGCGCCGCAGCCTCTCGCGCTTCTTCTCCTCTTCCTCGGCGCTTTGTGGGTTGACATCCGACATGAACTCGACGTAGCCGCGGTTGCGGTACTTGTGCTCGTGAGGGACGCCGGACGGCGTGGCGGCGATGTCGCGAGCCTTCCGCCGCTCGTCCTCTATCTGCATGCACCACACACGGAGGGAAACCACGACACACAAACACATGGCCTCTGCCCTGCCTGTCATGATGCTCTGTTCTTCAGCTGATGCGTACAATATCGTCGAGCGACGGGAGGTCTCTCCCTTGCGTGAATGACATGCCGAGATGCCGTCTGACGCCGACGGGACTCCTTGCTGCGGCTGTATGCCGGAGATTACCGGAGATGCTCACTCGGTCTTGCGGCAAGTTGCGGCAAGGCCGTCGATTCCCGGAATGACACAAACAGTTCAAGCACGTCGACAGCACAGGCAACGAATAATGCTTCAACACCTCGCTGTTCTTGAGAAAGCTCGCATGGAAGGGATTCCGTGAAACCGCTCTTCGCGGGAGGAAAGGTGAAGCTATAGGGGTTTGCCAGGCCTCGAAGGCAATGTCAGGAGCTGCCTCATCACCAACTTACATTGCCTTCGAGGCCCGTCACGCTGGCAGACGTCTGCATCAATCCGTCTGTATCATTCATCGCCCGAAGTTGATGTAGCACTGCCAACTGTTTGATATGGGCAATGACGACTGAACAGCCGAAAAGGTAACCAAAAGGGCAGGCGCAGATCATCCGTCAGCAGGCTCTGTGGTGGTGATTGTGGATGGCATGCATTCTCAGGTCCACCTAACATCATACCAGCACAGCATCTGGACAGAACCGCACACAACCATCTCCGTTCCGCACGGGTACGCCCAACATGCGGTGTGGTGTTTTTATTTTCACCCTGTGTGATTTCTCTATCGGTGTTACTACAGGGCAGATGGCCTATTCATCGTCAGTGACGGCCGACGTGTGGTGCGCTCACGTGGTGCCCTGCCTCGACGCGAGCAGCCTTGCTGCACTGGCAGCCACCAGCAGGGCTCACACCTCTCTGGCCATTGACACGTTCTCGGCCCGCATCGACGCGTCCCTCACCCGCAACTCCCTCGATGGCCTCATCGACATCGAGCGGGGTGTTCTGGGGTACCTGATGCGCTGCTACTACTCGCTGCGGCGCCGCATGAGTCGGTTGCTGCTGCTGGTATGTCTGGCCCTCATGGTGGTCACCGTGGCTGCCTTGGCGCTGCGACGCATGGCTTCCCTCTCCCTCAGCTCGCTCGGCGGACTGATCGGCCTCTTCTTGCCCGGTGCGCTTGTCGGTCGATTCAAGGGCATTTCACGCCACCAGCTGCGGCGCTTTGGCTACCTGTCTCGGGTGGCTTATCTGCTGGAGCAAGGCGACAGTGAGTGGCGGCGGATCGGCCGGGTCATCCAACTGGCCTTTACCCTCGGTCTCTTGACGATGCCCCTCCTCATATCGCCAGAGTGTGTGGCGGCTCTGCTGTCCACCAGGGGCGCCTTCCGTCAGCCTGTTGTGATGGCCCTATAGCTGATCGGGGACCAACTTACTCTCGGCTGGTTCGGCATGGCGTTGCGTCGAGTGCGGGAGGGCGTGTATCAGATGGACGGCGACTTCAGCGCCCTGTTGCGTGTGGTGCCAGTGGGCGACCTGCCCGCTCCTCACAACTGGACCGTGCGCAACTACTACTACTACGCCTTGCACGCGCCCGATCATCCGTTTGCCTGGCGCTACAAGAAAGGCGATCCCGTCATCCGCTGCAGAGGGAGTGCCGACCAGAGGGTGCTTCATTACCTCTACAACTCCTTTTCGTCCTTTCTCTGCGACGCATTTCTCAACGCCTGGCACCGCGTGTACCGGAATAGAGTGCTTCTTGCACGCATCGGTTATGAGGGAGGCTATCGGTCATTGCTGACCGGTGCCATCAGCGAGGACGAGGCCATTGTGGTGGACCGCCTTGACGATGGAGACGACCTGTCCGATGTGACGCCCAGCCGTCTGGTGATCGCCAGCGGCTTCCGACCAGACGAGACCACTGCGGCATGGCTCGTGGTGAGACGCGGCGATGTCGAGCTCTGGACGACAGAGCTGTCGCTTGCGGCCCGGAGGTTTGATGCTCGGTTCCCCGTGTCGGCGCCTCACTGGCGTCGAGCGCTGCGCCGATTCCGCCTCGAGAATGCCGTCATCGGGTAGCCAGCTGCCCATACACGGCTGGCTGCATTGGGGGATACACATTGTGCTGACAGTGTTTATGGTCTGCATGCCTCCATGTGTCAATGACTGAGTAGACGGGTGCGTGCGCGTGGACTGACTGGCTGGCTGGCGTCGTGACATGCATGAAGGCGACAAGAGTGTGCAGATGAAGTTGTGTTGGGCATGAGTGGCTCAGATTTGAGCCGCAGCTGAGCTCCTGCACAATCTCTGTATTCACACACAACCACACACATACACACGCCTTGATCCGCATGCACTGCATGGCTCTCTCGACCACTCAGTGACACAGAGACGAACGTCTTAACGAGTCCGCAAAAATCAGCCTTCACAGCTCAACACTATGAGTGCAGTGCAGTGCTCATGGTTAGCAGCATCGGATTATCATACACACAGAGATACATACACACATACACAGCAGTGTCCCCGCCTTCCCTCATTCATTGGGCAGCCAGTCAGGGATCCTCCCACAGTCGTTGTGCAGCTCCGTCTTGACGCCCCATCTGATGGTCTGACCAGCCCCCCACGGCTGGTAAAACGGAAAGCCGCGGTGCTTAGGGTAAAGTGTCCCATCCTGCGGCTTCCCCTTCGCGAAGTGTCCCTCGAATACCACCCCAGTCCATTAAGAAATGCACGAGTAGACCTTACCCTGCTGCCACTGCCCACTCTCCCACTGCCCCTCGTACTTCTTCTTGCCGTTGTCGTAATACGAGGTGCCCGTGCCGTGTTTGTGTCCGCACAGCCACTCTCCCTCGTACGCCTCGTGCCCATTGTGATGATAGCTGGTGCCCTGGCCTTCTGGTTTGCCATTGCGCAGCGGGCCTGTGTAGGTGGTGCCATCCTCCAAGGGCATCTTGTCGGCTCTCCCCTTGCCCACCATCTGGCCATGCTCCCACCGGCGATTGCAGCAGCCGCCGTTCGGCCAGTGTGCCGTCCCGCTGCCGTGAGCGATGCCGTTGAGCAGAGGGCCTTCATAGTGGTACCCCTCCCACGGCAGCCGATGAGCCGTGCCCTCTCCGACCATCTCGCCGGCAGACCACTGCCCCTCGCAGGCCGTGGAGCCATCTGAGCTCTTCAGGAGTATGCCGCGGCCGTGGGGTATGCCGTTGAGCAGAGGGCCAGTGTAGGTGGTGCGTCGATCACCAGAGGGCATCTTGTCCGCTGTCCCCTCGCCGACCATCTGCCCATGCTGCCATGTGCCTGTGGACGTGCCGCCGTTCGGCCATCGCGCTGTCCCCTGGCCGTGTGGCTTTCCATTGTGCAGAGGGCCGGTGTAAGTCTTGCCGTCCCCTAGAGGGATCTTGTCGGCGGTCCCTTCGCCGACCATCTGCCCCCCCCGCCATCCACCCCGGTAGAGCTGAGAGCCCCTCGAGTCGTACTGGGTGCCGTGGCCGTCATACATGCCACTCACCCAATGCCCCTGATACTCCACATGGCCATTGGCGCGGTAGCTGACGCCCTGACCATAGTATTTCCCGTCCCTCCACTGGCCCTCGTACTTCTTGTTGCCATTATCGTGATACGAGGTCCCTTCGCCGTGCATCTTTCCATTCTTCCACTGCCCCTCGCACTCCATCCTGCCATTGGCGCGGTAGCTGGTGCCGTGGCCGTGCATCCTGCCGTCTGCCCATTGTCCCTCTTTCTCCTTGGTGCCATTCTGATCGTAGCTGACGCCCTGACCATGGTACTTGCCGGATTTTCACTGACCATCATACTTCTTGGTCTTGCCGTTTTCATGATAGCACACGCCGACTCCCTCATACTTCTCAACAGCCCACTGCCCCTCGTAGATCTTCTTCTGCCCGTCCATGTCGGTCTGCTTGCCGGGGCCGTGCGGACGGCCGTTCTTGACGCGGCCATAGTATTTGCTGCCGTCATCCAGGATGAGCTCGACGGGCTGACGCTCACTCGCTGCACGCAGCTGAGCCAACTCGGCCTCAAGCTGCCTGTTGCGCTGTTCTGCCTGCTCCAGCTGCCGTGTGAGCATCTCCACCAGACGAGCCTGTGTCCTCATGTGTTGTTCGGCCTGCATGCGGATCTCCCGCTCGGCCACGTCGGTGAAGGCACTCGACGAGGCGGCATCAGGAAGAGTGAGGTCCGCAAGCTGACCCTCGAGCTGCTCAAGCCGCCGACGCAGCTCCTCCATCATCAAGTTGCGGCGCAAACGATGCTGCTGAGTCGGTTGGTTGGTTATTGTGTTTAACGGGACTCGTGTCTGTAACCCCGAGGGGATCCTGTCCAGGTCAAGCACTCGGTGAATGCGCTCGGGGAGGTGATGGCAAACGTTCCGTGAAACCGTTCTCACTAGCTCGCAAGAGGAGAGCGGAGAAGAGGAGAAAAGGCACGAGGAAGTGAGGAGGGGGTTGCTCGGGCCTTCTCAGCCTCCGCCACCATGGATCAGCGTGCGAGGAACCACTGGAGGAAGAAGGCGCTTCGCTACACGGTAAGAGCATGAGGGAGGGACACCTGGGAGATCCCGCCTTCATTTTCGTTGCTGTCGTTGTGCGGTAGGTCTACCACATGTACAAGGCGATGGCGGAGTGGAATCAGCGGGAGGTGGATTTCCTCACACGGCGGTTCGCTCTCGACCGACATCACGAAGACGAGATGCGGTTGTTCGAGCGAGTGGTGAAGCTAACCCTTCGTCACATAGAGGACCTCACTGGCAATATCGAGGAGCTCGAGCGCATGGAGGCCAAACTGACTGAGGAGCTGCAGCAGCTGGAGGAGGCCACAGTGGTGCTCGTGGATGACATCTCTGCCCAGCACGAGCTGAACCGCCTTCATCGTGAGGCCATCCAGGCCCTCGATAGCGCCATCGCGGCGCTCCAGGAGCGGCGCCGGGAGCTGGAGAGGACCCACCGCAGCCTCACCTTGATCGAGCGGCAACAACAGCAGCGCAAGCAGGCCTTGCTGCTCAGCAACGAGCAGCTGACACAGCGCAAGAGGGCTGTCCTCAAGCGCAAGGAGGACCTCCAGCGGCGCATTCAGCAGGAGTGCATGAAGGCGAGCAGCAACGGGGCGGCGGTGCTGTACCACCAGACGGACCACGCAGGCGCCCACAGCCTGAAGGCCCACGGCGTCGATATGAGCAGGTGTCGGTCGATTGGGTGGGGCAACATCAGCATCCCGGGGTTCTTCTGTGCGAGCACCGAGGCCATCACGAGCCAGCCTGACAAGGCCCAGCGTCGGGGCTGGATGGTCAAGCTGCAGGTGCGGCTGGGGCGCGTGAGGGAGCTGCACACGGGCCCCAGCCCTGCTGACGGCGACTTCGATAGCGTGGTGATTCAGACGAACACTGGTTTGGAGTTTGTGGTCACCAGAGCTGAGCAGGTGACCGTGACAGAGATCTATCCCGTGGGGAGCAGATAGGGGGGAGGAGGGACAGTGGCCTCGTGCTCTTGTGTCGGCCGTCTGAGGATCTGGACGGTCTCTGCTTGTGCTTGTTCATGTGTGCTGCATGGGCGTGCGACGCGATTGGCGTTTATTCAGTGTGGTTTGTGTGCGCTGTGGTGCCGATTCCTTCATGTGCGTGGATGGCTTCCGTGTGCATGTGTGACCCATGTGACATTTATTGCATCTTGATCGATCATTGATGAGTCTAACAGACATGAATCATGACACACCACACCCAGACATTGCGCCCTCCTTCGGGCCCCCTCGCTAGCCCTGATAGGTGGAGATCACCTCCACCTGGTCACCGCTATACACGACAAACTCCAGGCCATGGCGATCCGTCACTATCACGGAATCGAAGCCACGCTGCTTCACCCGCCTCTCGTCGAGCTGGCTGTCTGGACCCCTCCCAAGCTCCAGAGGCCGCCCGAGCCGCAGACCCACCTTGACAATCCAGTCAGTGTGCCCCGGCTGGTGACGAACCTTGTGCCTCGTCAGGTCCGGGCGCGATGCGCAATAGAATCCCTTGCCCGCGTAGCCGTTCGAGCACCGGTTGATGTCGACCCCATGGTTCTCGATGTTGAGGGCGTGCTCTCGAGTGGTACGATGGTAGGCAATGATGCCGTAGGGGCACTGCAGGCAGAAGTGGCCGGAACGGCGCCCTCGGTTGTTGGGGCAGCGGGGGGTGTGGCGGCCGCTCGCATAGCGCCGCAGCTCCTGCTCCAACCGCCTCACGTTGGCCTCCTCGTCTGCCACCTCGTTGCGAGTCGACTGGACCTGCCTCTGCCGCGCCTCGTTCTCGGTGTTGAGGCGCTGGACCTCCCGGCTGAGGGCGTCGTTGGAGCGAGAGAGATCTTCGTTGGCGTCCTCCTGTCGCTGCTTTCTCGCCTCCTTCTCCTCCTTGATGCTCGTCAGTCGGTGCCCCTCAGCCACAGCCATCGAGTGCTCCTCACGCAACCTCTCCTGCAGCGCTTGCTGTTCGCCGATCTGGCTCCTCAGCTTCTCATTCCCCACCATCAGTGCGGTCTTCCTGTCCGTGAGGGTCCCCTCCCGCTGACGCGCGTCATCCAGACGGCCTTGGATCTCCACACGCTCAGCCGTGTGTCGCTCGGCCTGCTGATTCGCTGACTTGGTGTGGCGGTGGAGCTGTTCCGACGTGAGATCAGCGTCCCACTGCCTCAGCTTGGCCTTGAGGCGCTCCATGCTGCCTCTCCTGCGGTCAGAGTTGGTGGAGGAGGGACGGGAAGAGGGGGAAGATGACGGGAGGGGAAGATGCATCAAAGACGATTGACGACGGTCCGCCAACCTACCTACCAAGGACTCGGAACAGCCGGAGGCTCACTTCACACACCGGTTTCATCTCATACCCTAAACCACATCTGAAGGGGTGGCCCTGTGCAGCCTACATGACCGAAAAAGGCAGCTGTCCTGCTATGCATCTATCCGTCCGTCTATCTTATTGTTGCTCGTCAGCTTGCATGTCAGTCAGTCAGGCAATCAGTCGATCAGTCAGTCAGAAGGGCTTTCTACACAGGGGACACCTCGGTTTCGGCTCTGGCTGGCCATCCATCTCGCCCCGCCCACCCGCCAGAATGCGCTTATGACACGACGCACAATAGCATGTGCAACCTGACACACACCCATGCACATTCAAAACGGCACAGCGAAATGTAGGTCCGTGCGAGTATCCGTGTGAGTGTCTGACTGCGTCTGCTGCTCACCACATGGCAGCTTCACAGCCTTTGGTTCGGACCAGCATGCCATGCAGACTCGTTCCCTCTCCTGCTCGGCCCTCTCGGCCTCCACTCGCTGCGACTCGGCCGCGGCCTTGAGCTGCGTCAATCGGGTCATTTCTGCATTGATGTTGCCGACGAGGCATGACAGCTCAGCAGCGCTGATGTGCTGCAGCCGGTCGCCACGAAGCTGAGCCCCGTCCAGTGCGGCATTCTGCCGACCCAGACGGTCATTCTCGCTCTCGAGGGAGTGGATGGAGCTCTCGCACGTGCGGATGGTCCGGCGCAGCCCCGCGATTACAGTGTTCTTGAAGGCGCTGGCCTGCTCGAGTGACTCGAGAGTGGCCCCTTTCGCCTGGATGACGCTGTCCCTCTCCTGAATGGCCTTGTCCTTCTCCGATATCACCATGTCCTTCTCGCTGACACACGGACACAAGACGAGAAACAGTAAAGATGGAGAACGGGCCTCCATATCTCTCTGTGTGTGTGAATGGATGCAGACTTCAGGGTGCTCTTCTGCGTCTCGATGAGCTTCTGCAGTCTGTCAATCCTCTGAAGGGACAGCAAAGCGGCAAGGCATGAAAGATCAGTTCATATGCCCTTCCCGCCCCTCTCCTCTCTCGGTCTGTCACCTTGTGCGGTCCGACGAGCATCTTGAAGTATTTCGTCTTGCCCCGGTGTAGGCCACCGCCGTGCTCCTCCTTGTGCATCAACTCATCCTGCAGCAAGAGGGAAGGCCCGTACTCATCTGCACTTATGTGTTTTGTCCGCAACACACCTCCTCTTCCTTCCTGAGGGCCTTGAGCGCCTGTAGGTGTTTCTTCGAGCGCTCGTGTGACGCCAGCTGCCCTTCGCTGCGGTAGTGTTTGTTGCAGATATCACAGTAATAGATGAGGACATCGCCGCCATGCTCGTCGTCACTGGACTCATCAGAGTAGGGGCTGGGGTCCATGATCTCCCCCTCACTCCTCTCCGAGCTCGCACGCCCCCCCCCCCCCCCCCCCCCCCCCCCCCCCCCCCC